CCCCCATCATGATCTAAGAAGGGCATCAATTGGAATCCCATGTCCATTGATTTATCTAGTAAAGCATGAAACGTGATTACCTTCATCCGACTGGGCAGGATATCAAGGCAGTTCAGTGGCTTGTCTAGAGTTCATCAGCCCACCAGGCAGTCCTCATCAGTGGACCCCCCTAAGATCTTTAGTTTGCGGTGCTCCAGGAATTTGGGACGGGAAAGGCACGTGAGCCAGATGGGTGTGGCAGTACAATACACTGTATGAGGGGGAGGAGCCCACACTCAATGTCAGAAGGCCTTGATTCTTTTTCTTAGTCTGCAAGAAATATCAATAGCTAACATTTGTTAAGAATGCTGTCTAAAGATTTTTTACATTTTCTCATTGAATTCTCTCAACAATGCTATGAAATAGACACTGCCAACATCATCATCTTCATTTTAAAGATAAAGAAATCAACTCTCAAAAGTGTTACACATTTCTTGTCCAGTGTTGTACAACTTTAAGTGATCAAATGGGGATTTGAAGCCAAGGGGTTTGACCCTAGACATCCAGAAAGCACTGCACTGCACTCCCCTGCCTGATGTGTATTAGGGGACTCCTGCATACATCTAAGATGTATAAAAGGAAGAAAGGAGTGCAGAACTCCAGAGGTGGGTCAGAGCTCCAAGAACAGGATAGGTTCAGCAGCTGGGACTCTAGCTATAGGGATACATCTGGCAAAGTTTTGGCAAGCAGGGGTTGAAATTTGAAGACTGGCACTTTGGTCTAGGATGTGAAATTTAAGAGACTACTTTAGGGGATATGAGAGGTGTTTCCAAATATCTGAAAGTCTATCAAATGGGAAGAGAAGTTAAATTGGTTCTGCATGTTCCCAAAAGTAGAATTAGCATAAATTAGGCTCTGAAGTGGGTTCTGCTGTATAGGAGTGTAATTAATTTAAAGGACAGGAGGAAAGAGGAAGGGGAGGAGAGGAGAGGAAACGTGAAAAAAATTTTTCAGTAGAATGATATTTATCTGATAAATGCCCTGAGCTGCCCACCCACGTTTAATGAAAGTCTGACCTCAGAACCCCTCAGAACGCAGTTTTCTATAAGGAACTGGTTGGGCAGGAATGTGATAAATATGTAAAGCAAACCCAATAATACAAACACGATCAGGGTGACCTGTTCCAGAGGAGGGGCAGTGCCCGCGGTGTCGTAAATTTCAATTTGCGATGTCTCCTGCTGCAGAAAGGCAGAGTCGGCCCTTTGTGATGATCAGCCAGTTCTATTCACCTCTTTAGTTTATTTTTCCCTCCAGGATAGGACAATGGAAATGGGAAAGTCAATTTTCTTTTTATACGAAGCAGATTGAATTTTGCTAAAGTAAAATAGGATCTGGATAAGTAAAGGTCATTCTAGCCTCCGATCTTTTTCTTCATTAACAAAAAATCAACACTAGTGTTGTTGCTTCCAGGTCTTTTACCAAACTGAGATACTTGGAGATGCTATCAGCAGAGCTGGGTGAGTCACGATTACTTTACCAAAATCGTAAATAACTGAGGCAAGAGCTAATTATTGCTATGTCAATGCACATTTATTTTTCATGTAAAAGCATGGAAAATATATTTCATCTTGCCAAACATAACACTATTAGGATTAGAGAAAAAGATTTGTCTGTAAAGAACAATGGGACCATTCTGCCATCTAATTCTGCTTACTCAACTCTTTTGTGTCCTTCAGGTCTAGGATTATTAGAATATTAATAAATAAAGAAAGTCAGATGGCATCTGAGACAGGCCATGCTACTTTTCTCTTTACCAAAGTCTTGAGCTATGTTGATATCCTTTTAGTGGCATAAAAATGTGTGAGATCTCTAGAGAGATTAACTTAAAATTTTGTCAAGAAATCTAGGGAAAGAAGAGGAGGAGGAGGTGGGAAGATCAGTAAGAAGACTGCAATAAGAGAGCAATAGAACTGGAAAGAGGTGAATGGGAAGGTTGCTTGTTTCAGAGGTAGTAGGTTTTGTGCCACGCACCATAGAAGCAACAAAAACAAGCAAACATTTTTTTTAAACCATGAGGAGCTTATTGAATATAGACTCAACAAACGTTTTCTAAACTGAATAGAATTTGGCAGTTCATTGGATAAAGAAGCTAAAGCTATTTTGAAGTTTAAGGTTTGTATGACTGTAATATTAATGGTAGGAGATACAAGGGAAAGTTTGGGCTTAAGGGTAGGTGGACACCAAAGCTTGGATTTAACTAACCGCATTCATCAATAGTTGCTATTACTGCTGCAAATCAAAGGAGAAAAATAAATAAGAGATGGCAAGAAACTATAAATTGTGAGATGTCATTGTAATATCAACCAGCTACTTTTGAGAAGATGTCATTATATCACATAAATATGATCTCCATATTTAAGATATTTGGAGGAGAAATTTTAATACACTAAACTCTTTTAAAAGTGTGAACTAAAAATCTGAGGGTATACTCCAAGGGTGGTAAGGTAGAAATAAAACCCAACTATTATGTAGACTAATGGATTATCATTATTATCAATTTTTCCCAGCCCATTAAACTATATTCAAGGAGAATAAAATGATATTTTAGGAGGGTACATCATTCAGAGCTCAGTTGGGAAAATAAAAACTGTATTGTTTCAACAGAATAAATTTAGCAGGAGGAATTGATAAGGTTATTACAAGGTCTCCGAGTAAGGGAAAGCTAGAAATCTCAGGCAGAAAGTAAGGCCACATCTTCCAGCAAGGGAGGCTTGGAGAGACTAGGATATTTAGATTCCCAGCTTCATCTGAGTCCATCCAAATGTCTCCATTCCAACTTTCAGGCTCCTAGCCTTTCCAAATCAGTGCCTTGTCTTGACTTCATGAGACTGTGAATTCAACTTAGTTTGTAATTCTACAACATGTAGCACAATTATATTTGGGGTGTTATTTTCAATGAGGTTAGACCTATAGCTATGAGAAATAAAAGTTCATTTTAAGTCCCTTGTGTGTGTATATGAATGTGTGTGTTTCTAGGAAATGTTTGACCTTAATCAGATACATACTTACCCTAGATTATTTCAACCTCTGATTTTCAGAAAATTGCTTTTATTGAATATAATGTGTTACAATATAATAATTATACAAGAAAACTATCAAAGAAAAGAAACTGTGTGATAGTGGGATTTTGTTGAAATTAGTTTATAACAGGTTCTCCTTTTTCTAAAAGTATCCATCATTGATCACACAAAATCTGTATTTCATGCAAGCTCTTGTTGACAAATAATTACACCAGGGATTGTTAAGTAGCCCTGACCAATCAGAGGAGAAAGCTCTCAGAGCTCAGATTCCCTTTGGCTTTGCTGCTTCTGCCAACTCCCGGCATCTGCCTTGGCTGTCTCTTGATTTGCAAAATGATTCCAAGTGTAAATAATGCACAGTCCCTGCTCTCACGGAGCTTAGAGCCCAGTAGGGGAGATAGAAATAAGCAAATACTCTAGTACTGAATATATTTTCACAATTGCCATGTGTAATATGATGAAGCAGCTCCAGGCATTATGGGAGTTTGTGAAAGGGGGATTTCACCCAGGCTGGGGAGTCTGGAAGGCTCACCATCAACCCCATACACAGGAACAGCCTCACATGCGTCACCACCTACTGGCCAAAGGGAACAGACACAGAGGCTCCTGCCACAAGGCAGCTGATGATGGGAAGCTCTTGGCCAGGCAAGAGGGCAGGTCCCAGCAGCCCATCTGCAACCAACTCCCAGGCGCAGCTTCCCTTTTTCTTGCATGCAGCTGCAGCTGCGGGTGGGCAAGGAATTTACTGTATCTTTGTAGCAAATAACTTACTGACCTGTATATGTCTTTCCTGCTTTGCTCAGCCTACGCTGACAAATGTAGAACTTAGTATCCCCACAGTCTTAAAAATAAAAGCAAGAGAAGACTCAGTATTTAGGAGAGTTGAATGTAAGAATGAAACAAAGCAGGCTTGTGCAACTATTACAACTGCTTGGGATTTTTTTTTTTTTTTTTTTTTTTTTTTTTTTTTTTTTTTTTTTTTTTTTTTTTTTTTAGTTTTTGTGATAACCTTTTATTTATATAGAATTATAAATTACAAACTATTATTCAATTCTTTTAACCACCATGTGAGGCAGACATGCTAGAGGGTACTAGCTCCATTTCACAGGCAAGAATGGAAACACTGTTCCCATATTTAGTATAAGACATCAGGGATTTAAGCCCTGGGCTTCCATACTCACAACTGCTTTTTTCCCATGGACTTTGCCATACATCATTTTAAAGTAATCTGATTTCACAATGTTTTAATATATAAGAGTAACATCTATAACCTCTATTGTTGACAGGTTAACTCTGGAGCCAACCAACCTAATTAATTACCTCATAACCTGGCACATTTTAAGGCACTGTTATACCTCTCAATTTCACAGCTATGTTTGAGGGCCCCATGAGCCAAAATTGCAGCAAATCTGACCTGAAAGGATCAGAAACAAACCGATCAAGCCTATTTCCAAATTTAACCTAGGCCTGGCACATCTTCACCAATTGCTCAGATGGCAAACTGAGGCAACTAAGTGAAGGCCTGCTTAGAAGTGGACACTGATGAAAAAACACCACCAGTATCAGACTGACTTCTTTAAGGCTAACATCCTCAGAAAGCCTATTGCTGGTCTACGACAGTACCAGCAGGACAAAAGGCAACTGGACTTCTGGAATCCAGAATATCCAAGAAAAAGGTCAATTAAGCTGCCTGCCAGATGCCTAAAAAGCCAAATAGTGCTAAGTTCATCCATGCCAAACCAAGAAAATGGTTCACTCCTTCCTGAGCTTGGTTTTAAGGAGGAAGATGATCTTCAGAGAAACCAGAAAATCCCATCCTGAATCCCCAGGAGGGGAGGGGTGGGGAAGGGGGAGAAATGGTGGGCATTTCCCAGACTTGATAGTGCAAGGAGCAACACAATCTGTCACTGTGAAGGGGAAAAGCTATCTTGGTTAGCTTTACTCTTCCACAAGACAAGGGAACCAGAGACTAGAAAGATCAGGGCTTGGGTGACCAACCCTGGGAAAAGCAGGACTTCCTCATATGAAGTGCAAAGGTCCATGGAGAGAAGAGTCTATGCACAAATTATAAGCAAAATTTTGAGTATATGTGTGAACCCATCAAAGAGGTCATTTGTTCTCAAATCCTGAACTAGAGAAAGGGACTAAACCGGTTGCAGGCTAGGATAAAAAGCCACCAGATGCACGTAGAGCCAGCCATGTCTGAGAGCTCTCAAAGCCATCAATGAAAACTTGGAACATGGATTCAAAGAGACAGCTGAGTTTTTGCATTCTCCTTCCCAATTGTATTTCAAGTCTTTTCAAAACAAAGCCCTGGGAATACCCAGATTCAGGTATGCATTTGGACTTGGACCACTGTTGCAAGAGTCTTAGGGATCCTCATACACATGCTTGAGTCATTCATTCACCAATGTTTAACACCTCAGGATAGAAGATCTGACAAAGCAGGACTCCTTTCTCCATGGAATGTGATTTCAGAGGTGGCAGCAGCCAAAGTGGAAAACACTGGAATTTTTCCTTGGAACTCGACTGTGATGAGAGGTTCCTGCCATGAGCATAACCGACTGTCTTTTCCCTGACTCTTCCCTTTGTCTTTGAAGATACAGTGAAAATAATCTTCTCTGAAGATATTTCACAATTCCAAAACTCAAAAACACATGCTCTCAATGCACTGTGTTTTCAGATATTCTGGGTCTAGTTCAGCTGGCGGATGAGCTGATTGATGTGTTCACCTCGATAGCCGGGTGAGCCCATCTCCTTGAGAAAGCCCACTTTATTCTTGGTAGCATGACGGGCCACTGAGAGTTGGAAAGGACGCAAGAACCATGAGATCTCCTGGAAATGCTTCCCCGGGAAGGCAATTTCATGAATGAGGTCTTCCAAGCAAATGACACCAAATTTCCCCAGGTGCTCTTCAATCACTGTGTTATCTGTCAGAGGGATGGTCTTATTCTTGACCTTGGCTTGTCCACGTTTCAAGATGAGTTCCCGGACAGACTTCAGATTTGGAAATCCCCAGGTCACATAAGGTTCCACCATACGCAGCAATTTTAGGCTCTGTGGGGTGACTCTAACAAAGACACCACTGAAAATTTTCTTTAGGCGAAGTCTCGCGATGGTCTTTTGCACCAGTGAGCTCACCCCATTAATCCTTTGGATGCGTACAACAAAGGCCAAAGAATGTTTATCCGGCAACTTCAAGGCATGAGGTTTTACTTCTAGTCGTCTGAGACGCACCCTGTCGCGTTGCTGCCGCCAGGAATCATGTAAAAACGATTCCAGTCGCTTAAACCTGGGCCCTTTTCCTTTCCTCTGCTCCTTCTTTGCCAAAAGTGCCTGCTTTGCCTGGGTGGCTTTGAGGGCTTGGTAAGCCTTCCTCTTTTTCAGGAGATTTTCTGGAACCAAAGGGATTTTTTTCCTTTCCTCTTGCTCCGCCATCTTTCCAGTGTTGCAGCTACTGATCATGCGCCTGCTTGGGATTTTTTAATAATGGGCTCTTCATTCCCTCACAATGAGCTGCAGAAAATGTGGCTCATTTTAGTAAAAATCCTGTTTATAGGGCAGCAACATTTCAAAATATTTTTTAAGAAAGAGGAGAAAGAAACTAAAACACTTTTCTATTTTGAAGTAGAACCTACAAATATATTTAGATTTTAGACAAAAGCACAGTAACTCAGAAATGATCATTTTTATTTTCTCATGTTTACTCTTCTTTCACCACAAATATTACAAAAGATAAACCCTCTGTCACTGGAGAAGTGACCCCACTTTGCGTGGTTTGTTAATAACTCTGCACTATCTATCACCTCTGATGTGTGTGCTGGCATGCGATGTATTTACGATAACATGGTTAGAACATGCTTTTGTTCCTCTGCAAGCCAGTGACACAGCAGGAGCTAACTGGCTTCATTTATCCTCCATCTTCCCTAGACATAATCCAAAATAGCACATTTACCAATCCAATATGTAGTTTATTAATAGAAATGCCAACATAAGCTGCATTTTGGTGAAAAAATGTTGACCCCAAAACAAAACTAATACTCACCATTTGAAATAAAGAATCGTATGCAATAAGATTGTACAGAACTGCTCTTAGGGAAAACTGGGAACACCCCCAACCCAAAATAATCATCTGAACTTATGCTATTGTTCAACACTTTTCTGAGCACCCTGGCCACTCAGAGAATAAGAGAAGTCTTTGAGTTTCCAAAGGATGCACTTCAGGCTTCTCTCCATTAGAAAATTGTCCTGCATTATAAAAGGAATTCAGTTTATATTAATAAAAACTAAACTGCTCCACCCTCAAGCATTTGAGCAAAGCTCCTCACTCCCTAACAGGGAACTATATAAAGTGACTCCCATCCAAAGAGTATAGTATGGAAAAGGAAAGGAAAAATAACTTTACAATAAAGAAACTTGACAACCCATGAGAAAAGTATCAGACAAACCCAACTGAGGAACATTCTATAGAATTCCTGATCACTACTCCTCAAAACTTTCAAGATCATCAAAAACATGGAAAGTCTAAGAAACTGGCCGGCCAAGAGTAGCACAAGGAGACATGACAACCGAACATAATGTGGTAGCCATATGGCAGCCTGGAACAGAAAAAGAACATTGGGTCAAAAACTAAGGAAATCTGATTAAAGTTATGGCATTTAGTTAATAACAGTGTATCAATGCTGGTTCATTAGCTGCAACAAATGTACCATAATACGGTAAGAGATTATTAATATGGAAAAGTGGACATGAGCTATATGGAAACTCTCTGTACTGTCTTTGCAATGTTTCTATAAGCCTAAAACTGGCCTAAAAAATACAGTGTATTTTTAAAAATTATTTTAAAAACTTAACCACCTTTGACTTTATAGGAATATAACTGATCACTCTTGTGTAAAAAAAGCTGGAGAACTGGGTGGATTGTAGTACCACCTGTGACCCAGTGGAGTCTCTTCTCCAAGAGAAGTCCCATAAATCTTTAGGCACTGTTTTATCCACAGGCCTGTGTGGTGTGAGGTTAATGGGCAGCTCCAGAAAGATGCCTTCCAATTCCTTCCCTGGGAATCAGTATTTTATAGCTGCTGTTTTGCCTGTGATGGCTCTTGATAGAGGGGAAATTAGTGAACAGAGCAAATACCATCAAGGACAGCCCTGAGGCCAAGACAACCCTTCTGCCCACCCACGAGTGTGTTGTCTGAGGCTTCTCGGGATTTATTTTCTTTGTTTGGCTGCCATTTTCTTGAAAATGATGGAGAATATTCCTCATCAAAGCTTGTGCAGCATCAGATCAGACCACCGTCCCCCTTGAAAGATGGCATCCCTCTGCTGGGGGTGCCAGAGGGAAGGAGGTCGGGAGCAAGAGAGGTGTTCTCATAGCCCATCCTGCCGCTGCTTATAGAAGGTTAAACCTCTGCATCTGAGAGTCTGTCATTTTATCTCTAGTAACTGTAAGTACAGAGTCAACAGATCTTTCTGTTGCGTTTCCAAGGAAAGTTGCGTTTCAGTTAATCCTATGATTTAAAATAACAGATCTTAGACTTGCTGCTTTACTATGATTCTTTACAATTCAATCATGTCCCATATTTATATAGGGCCACCACGCGCTGGATTATGGGAGACACGAAATGTAAGAAGCTTTGGTGGTCCAGAAACCACACCCTGGATTCAGTTCATTCTTTGGGTCCAGAGCCATGGCATCCAGCAGGGAAACAATTCTCTCTGCCCTGGAGTTAGAGGCAGCTCCGTGTTCTGTGATCCCTAAAGACTCTATTTGGGGTTGTCTCTGCTTTGGTATGGGGGCTTTGGGTCCACTTGCCTTGTCACCAGCTTGGTACCCACTCAGCCTCTTGTGCAGCAGTCTGACTTAGCATGTGTCTTAGTCTACTCAGGCTGCCATGACAGTATGCCACAGACTACGTGCCTGAGACATCATTTATTTCCTCACAGGTCTAGAGGCTAAAAGTCCAGGACCAAGGTGCCATTGGCTTGGTAGCTAGTGAGGCCTCTCTTCCTGGCTTGCAGACTACTACCTTTTTGCTGTGTCTTCACACGGCCTTCCCTCTGAGTATGCAGGGGAGGGAGAGAGAGATCCCTCTAGTATATATTCCTCTTACAAGGACACCAGTCCTATTGGATTAGGTCCCCACACTTATGACCTCAGTTAATCTTACTTACCTCCTTAAAGGACCTATCTCCAAATAGAATCCCACTAGGGGTTAAGGCTTCAACATGTAAATTCATAGGGGACACAATTCAATCTATAACAACATAGAAATACAGGATAAGTAGCTTAAATAATGTAGAAGGAAATCATTAGTTTTAGAGTCAGAAAAACCGAATTTGAAACCACGCTTACTAGAGGGATCATGGAGTATAAGCCACGTGCCTTCTCTAATCTCAGTTCCTAATATAAAAAACAGAATACCTATACTTATAAATAAACACCTATGAATCAGATTTGTCACAAAGGTAAAATGAGGCAAAGCCTGTGAAAATGCATTGTCATTGTTAGCAGTCCTCAATCATAATAAATTATGGGCCCATTGGTTCTGGAAGTAAGTGCTACAAAAGTAAAGGATTCAGAAAAAAGTAGTAACAGATTCTAGTGGTATCTCAATCATAGAGCAGCCAGGACAATCTCAGGCATCCCAGAGTGTGACAAGCTGTGGACTTCCCCTAGCTCCAAAAGAAGGTAAGCCATTGAGCCTATCTGAATAGGTTCCTACTACAAAGCTCAATCAGGTAAAATCTGCACCTTGGGACATTTATTGCTGCTAATGAAAGGAATTTAGGGAATTAGGTTGAGGCAGTTGAGTGCTGCTAATTGCCTGGATCTAAGCTAATAAAAACTGAAACCTCTGTTTAAAGGACTTATCAGCAAATGGATTGAATCCCCCAGTGGCCAAGATTTTTGCTTTGTACAAACAAATCTCAACATCAAAGACAGAATTTCTTTGGTCCAATCGACAGTTCTTTATTCCTAAAGCCATACGTCATCCTCATCCCAGGCAAAGACCTGGCCTGAGGCCTCCTGCTCCTGGTCTACAATTATCCAAGGTATCTAACAAATAATATTGAGCACCAGCTGTGCTAAGTTCCAAGAAGACAGCAGAGAACATAGCCAGATATTATTCAGCCATCATGGAGCTTACACCCCATAATTAATCAAATAATTAATCAAATATTACACATACTTAAAAAATAAGATTAGTACTTTCATTATTACTTTCAGAGGTATGTGACATCATGATAGGTCAAGGTGAGTGGCCCTGAGGACTTAAGTGACCATGTGAGCAGGATCTGGAGGATGAGAACCAGTAGCTAGGCAGAGATTAGCACAAGGAGAAGTTAATGATGGCCGGGGGAGTAGGCTGAGTGTCAGGGCATGGAGCAGAGCAGGGTAGTGGGTGCTGGAGGCAAAGAGAATGGGGAGTGTGATGTGAGATGAGGCTGGAGAGACAGGCAGTGGGAAAACTACAGGTGCTTACAAGACATGGTATAAATTTTTATTTTCCTAGGAGCAATGAGAAACCATTAAAGTACATTAAGCTGGGGAAAGGAAGATGATATGATCAGATTTGGTGTTTTGGATAGATGCCCTTGGTTATAATATGGAGAACTATTCAGATGAGGGAAACATATCAGGAGGCTCTGGAAGCTGTTCTGGCCAGAGCCCATGGTAGCCTGGACTAGGGTACTTGGTGGAGATTCATTCATCCTTGCATCAAATATTTATTGAGTTCCTCTATATGCCAGGTTCTGTGCCAGGGGCTGGAGATAGACAGAGGTAGAGAGATTTGAGCAGCAGTAAAAGAGAAAATAAACATGACTTGCTGATGAATTGGACATGGAATGCAAGAAGAGGGAGCTGTGAATGGATAGTGGAGCTGGAAGGGTGTTTGGGGAAGAAGGTTGGTCATTTGGACCTGGATGTTTTGAGTTTGCAATGCCTTCAGAGCATCCTGTGGAGCTCTCGATGACTCAGCAGGTTAAGGGAGTCCACAGCTCCGAGGCAAGGATTATGAAGTGGCAGTGGAAGCAGTGGGTCAGATGCTTTAGGACAAGAGCAAAGTATGAGAAAAGATAAGGGCCTACAACTGCCTCTCAAAGGCCAACCAACACTTAATGGCTGAGGTTAGAGAAGGTCAAACCTGAAACAGAGTCCTAAAAAGAGCAGTAAGAGATAAAAGGATAACTAGGGCTACGCAAAGTCAGGGAAACCAAGAACAGGAGAAATTGGTCAATAGTGCATGATTCTGCCAATAGAGCAAGATAGAGCAGGACTAGAAAATATTCATTTGTTCCAGAACATGGAGATCTTTCATTACATTAGTGAGAACAATTAGATTGAGGGGACAGTGAAGGGATGAACCCTCTCTAGAGACATTTGCTATGAAGAGGATGGGAGGATGCAGGGTGGATACCTACATAATTTTCCCACTACTATGCACAGCTTTTCCTTGGCT